GGATATTCATCTTCAGAAAGAGACTCGAACATGATGCTTAGGAGAGGGGGTGGAGAAGAAAAAATGGACCCTCAGTTTCTTAGCTTATGAAATGATGACAGTGATTTTCTATCTGTGAAATGAGAGTTACTGACTTTAGGAGAATAGCAAAATTGTTTGGGGATTGCAAAATTGTTACTACTGATTATTAACCAGAATTATTATTCATACTATTCCTCTTTAGGGGATTCCAGCATTTCTGAATGGCTGGCTATTAGACGGTTACTAAATCCCCCAGATTGCTTCACCTCTCTTTGAACCTCTACCTCTGGCCTACATATGGCTGCATAACTTTAAAATGTCTTACACCTAAATATTTTTTTCTATTGGCTAACATAGTTGTTGTTTTTTTTATAGTTTTATTGAGAAACAAATAGCAATGAGACAAGGTCTGGCTATGCAGTTCAGGCTGACTTTGAGCTCACTTTGTAGCCCAGGCTGGTCTGGCACTTGCAGCGATCCTGCCTCAGCCTCCCGAGTGTATTACAGGCATGTGCCAGCACACCTAGCTGATGTATGAATTATGATGACAATAATGTCCCAAGTTACTTTTCAGGGTCCGGAAGCCTGCTTCTGTTGAAACCACTGACTTTTCACTTGGATCTTGCAGGTCTCTGAGGGGTGACCTTTCATTTGTTGTCAGAATGCTAGAAACTCCACCCTCAGATCACACTCCGTCACCATCATTTGAACATGCATCTAACAAAAAGCCATGGAGTTTGATTATGCATGCACGGGCCATGGACAACTTCAGCTCCCCCCACCCTGCCTCAGACACCCTGCACCTTATCCTATTAGCGTCCCTGAACTCTACACTTGGGAAGGATACTTCAAACTTGGGCCTCTGCCTCACACTCAGCCAGTTTTCAAATAAACTGACAAAGCTTGTTTCCAGTGGTGGGAAAGATCACTCCCGGCAGCTGGCTGGGTTTAAGATGTTTTAGCAGCAAGTAATCTATGCTCTAGGTGAGAGAAGGAAGGAAGTGCTTGCTGACTCTGTCACAATGGAATGTAAGACATCACTTCAGTTCACCCAGTAGTGCTACATGGGCAAGATGAACAACTGGCAAATTTAGGCTTGTTAGGAGAGGAACAGCAGAAAAGACAAAATCTTCTCAGTTTTGAAGCCATGTGAGGGTGGAAACCCATGGCTGTGGTAGTTTTCACGGGCACACAAGCGAAGACTTAGAAGGCACCAGTTATTTGAGATGGGCAGTCTGGAGGATGGTAAACAGGAAGCTTTCCAGCTGCTTAGTCATGCTTATGCAGAGCCTGGCGCCTCAGACTAACTTCCTGAAGGGCTTGATCTTCAAGATTGCTTCTGCTAAAACCACCCACGTTTTTTAAAGTTGGCTACAGTTAGTGCTTCCTATCCCACAGCTCCACTTGCCCCCTCCTTTTATCTCTAAACCTGCTTTTGTTTGGTTTTAATCCCATGAAAAGAAGCAGTAGCAAGAGCCTGTGGTAGAAGGAAGTACTTTTTTGTTTTTAAATAGTGTGCATAGATCTAGTTTAATGTTTCATTCTGAACAGCAATTCTTAAATTAAGGATTATCTCCCTCCTCCTTGTGAAAATATTTTATTATTATTGTTGTTGTTGTTGTTTTGGTCTTTTTTGAGATGGTTTCACTATGCAGTTTAGACTGTTCTTGAACTCACTTTGTAACACAGGCTTGCCTCGAACTCACAGCGATCCTCCTGCCTCAGCCTCCCCAGTGCTGGATTACAGACATGTGACACCACTCCTGATTGTGAAGTTATTTTAATAATAAAAACATACTGCTCAGGCATGTAGGCTTATGGGAAATTATGCTCCTGTTAGATACTCTAATCAGCAACTAAACTCAGTGAACCTTTTATTATTATTATTATTTTTTAGACAGGGTCTCTTATGTAGGTTGCCTCAATTCATTATGTAGCCTAGGCTGGCCTTGAACTCATAGTGATCCTCCTGCCTCAGCCTTCTGAGAACTAGGTTTACAGGTGATTCACCACACCTCGAGTCTTTAGTGTTTTGAGACAAGGTCTCACTATGTAGTTCAAGCTAACTATGAAATCCCTTTGTAACCCAGGCTGGGCTTTGGTGATCCTCCTTAGCCTCCCGAATGCCTAGGTTATAGGCTAGGCGTGCACCATGATGCCTGGCTCTTTCTTTCTTTCTTTTTTTTTTTTTTTTTTTTTTTGGTTTATTGAGGCAAGGTCTTGCTATGTAGCTCAGGCAGTCCATAACTCATCAGGTAGCCCAGGCTGGCCTTTAATTTGAAGTGATCCTCCTGCCTCAGCCTCTTTGAACGCTGGGATTACAGGCGTGTGCTACCACACTTGCTTTAACTCAGTGGAATTCTTGTCACAAGGCACACAGGCAGAGTCAAAGCAGTTGAAAGTCGCTGGGGGTACTCACAAATAGCATTCTTAAAATAGTCCTGAAACTAAGCATGGTGGTATGTGCCTATGCTCCCAGCTATCTGAGAGGCTGAAACAGGAGGACTGTAAATCAAAGCCCAGCCTGGGCAATAGACTTTATCTTAAAGTAAGAAATACATAAAAGGTTGGGACTGTGGCTCAGTGATAGCGTACCTTGGGTTCATTTGTTGGTCACACACATGCACACACACACATACACACACACACACACACACACAGATTTATTTATTGATTTTGGTCCTTTTGGGACAGGGTCTCGCTATACAGTTCAGGCTGGCCTTAAGCTCACTTTGTAGTCCAGACTGGTCTTAAACTCACATTGATCCTCCCGCCTCAGCCTCCTGAGCGCATGTGCCACCATGCCTGGCCATACACACAGAGTTTTAAAACATAGTGAATTAGGCGAAAAGGAAAATTGAGAAATTTTGTCGTAAAGTAAGAAATACATAAAAGGTAGTTTTTTATTTTATTACCTCTAGAAAATACCGATGGAATAAACAGACAAATTTTGATTTTTTTATAAGACTTGGTGGGATCTTAAAGCAGAATATCATATACCTGTGCATTTTTGAAGTTGTTTAGTATTTATCAAAAATTAATAATTCAAAATTTTGCTCTAAATAATGCTTAATAACAAACAATGATATGTTTACCCAGTAAATTAAAGTATTTCCACATAATCATTTCCTATTTATTTTACTTTAGTCAAAGCAATAGTTGAGCTGAAGTACACGCATGTGAAAGGCAGAGCAGAGAGCTGTGGTTCTGAAAAAAAAAGAAAAAAAAGAAAAAAAAAAAAAGATCCAGCGAGGGGACCTGGGGCCATGCAGCTCTGCCTGCTCCCTTGTCCTTCGCCAGTGTGCACACTCTTCACTTCTCCTCAGCGTTCTGAACATTACTCACCACTGCCTACTGAGCTGCTGTCCTCTGTTGCTTAGGGCCCAGATTTGATCAAGTGAAATTATATCTGAAGCTTTTGACTTTGTTTTTTCCTGTATCCAAATCAGACTGAGGATCTGGGTTGCTATAGAACTGAATCCCTGTGGGCTTGGTAGGTACCAAGGTGTCCAGAACTTAGGGGAAAGTAAGCAGCAGACACAGCAGTGCCTGGAACAAGTTGTTCACTGAAGAATTTATCTCAAGTCAACATACACTGCAGTGTACCCTACAGGCACTGTGCTAGGTGTCAGTGCACACAAAGTTAACGGAGGGTTCCCGTTTTTTAAGCACGGAAATATTCTGAGAATTAGTGGGAGGAAAGTACAGGAGTGGCCCCCATTCAACCAGATTACTTCTTTGCTAATGTACTAAAGTTCTAGATGAAAGTTTAGAATTTGGAGGGAAAAAGTGAAAAGCTTGGTTTATTGTAAGGGTTCTCAGCTCTGGCTGCTCAGTAGAATCACTAGGGGAGCTTTATACAGTGGCTGTCCAATTTCAGTGTTCATAAGCATCTCCACACAGGTTTGTAAATGGTAGCTTAGGCCCAGGGTCTAAGAATCAGGTACTCTGGACACAGTACAGAAGCTGTACTTCTGTCAGGTTCTCTGGTGGTGAGGATGCTGAGGGGCTGTGGCCATACAACATACACCTTAAATTATAAGGATTTCCAAATCTCACCTCCAGTCGAACTCTGGCATTAATCTTTGGTGCTTTGATTTTAATGTGTTTACATGGCTGAGAAGCTACGTCCCACTGAATTGACTGACTGGTTCCCTTAAGTTACAGTGTGTTTGTGACTCGGAGAAGGTACGTATTCCTTTGTGAGAATTCTAGAAATTCTAGTTTAAGGTCATTAAATAGGTAACATTTAGAAATGCTTTAAACATACCACTTTAAAGGTCTGCTTTTTCTTCGTACTAGTTTGGCTGGTTTGGTTTGGAAGACAGTTCCAAGTCTCACAGGGGTAGTTTGCAGTCCTATGGCAGAAAGGTCAAGAAAGGTCACCCTTGCACCCCGAGGCCCTCAGAGCAAAAGTGGTCACGAGGTGGGGTCCGCTAGACGCGCCTGGGGTTCCTCTGGGCTTGCCTGGCCCTTGGAGCGGCAACAAGTGAGCTGGGCATGCTCAGTGGGCAGGGTCGGTTTTGGGGGATGCGGGTGGGAAGGCTTGGGAGCAGCCGCCGGGCTCTGCGCCTCCCCCACCCGCGCGTGGCCCCGGGAGCCCTGCTCAGACCCCTCCCGCGAGACGCGCGGGGTCAGCGGGCCGCACGCTGCGGGCGCGGTCGCGGGCGGCGGGG